CGTATATCCGCACGATAAAAGCCATTGTGACCGGTTTCTGGTCCAGACTGGAACCTAATATTAAACAGTTGGGTCATTTTTCCTCGAAAAATAGAACAGAATGCAACAAAGATGGTCTAAAGATCCTTGTCCAGATGGTTGAAAGATGTCTGCTCAGTTCGGTTCATGCAGCCCTGATGCACTGGTTGTAGATTGTACATCTAAGTCTGCTGTATAACGTGACTAACAACTTCTAGTTCCACGGCTTCTTGTGTCCCCTAGTTTGCACTTTTCAAATGGCTATCTCAAACTCCGGAGCTGTGTCGCTTTTCGCAAGTGCATTCACAGGGTTTAGCTTGGATTTCGGTGCAACGCAATTCCTTACATCTTTCCAATTTTTACAGTACTGGCCGATTGTGATGCACTAAAATATTTTTTTAATGATCAAATGGAGTTTCATTATATTTATCACCTGTATTAATGCTTTAGGTCTTATCGTATATCTTGTCTACTTCGATCTGCGTAGTTTCTAGGCTGTATAATTGTCAATTAAATGTGTCTGACCTTGATTGCCAGGATTGAATGATCTCACCATGAAAACCGCAAACTTTATCAAGTATAGCAACGCAATATTTTCTAATAGGAATGACTCAAGAATTATCCTAAAATATTTCCATAAACCCTTCCATCTCGGTTATTTGTTATGAGGCATTATTGTGTCTAATATATGATCCATTATAGCAACTCTATTGGATAACCAAATGACATTCTTTCGCAACCTAGAGAAATTGTATTAAATAAGGTTTCATAATAATAATAATCTGCTTGATATCTAACTCAGTGAATTCGAGAAATACCACTTCAATCAAATTCAACCTTCAAATCAAGGTCATTTTTGTGCACAGCTTTGAATGTTCGGATTGTTGTCACTATAATGAAGCAAGCAGCTCTCGAAACCACAAGTTCCCGTTATCTCAGTGAACAGAACAGAAACAGAATTGCACGAGCGCACAAGCGGGAATTTTTGATATCAAATCTTGCCTAATGCTTTAACGTTAACAAAAGCATGATTAACAGGATAATCCATGAGAAAACAACAACTAAAACAGCTTGTGGGGGCCGCAAACCGAGTACATCCAAACAAGAGGACGACCTGATTCGTATTACTCTGAAAAATCATTGCAGAAAATCGTTGTTTAAGGTTCAGTTCATGCAACTTCCACCTAATAGCCCGGATCTCAGCGTGATTGAAAATCTGTTTTCTGTTTTGAAGAGAAAGGTCAATATGCTACCTATACGTTGGCCATTGGAGGCAAAAGTTCGATAAGTAATAGAGCACAAAATAGAGGATGACTTCATAACAAAGTTGGTAAATTCAATGCCGAAGAGATTCGAAAAAGTCCGAAAGTACAAAGGTAGACCAATCGGCTATTAGTGTACATAAACTTTATACCTTAATTATTATCAATGTTAATTTGTTGTAAATAAAAAAGACAGTTCATATGGCATTCCTTACCCATTTATCTTTTGTCCGTTGCAGATGCCCTCTGGCCCCGTTGACTGAAGATCAGCTGAATTTGGCTTTGGTATGCAAAACGCGTTCCGAGAAGCTCGAAACCGAGGTTCACGAGAAGGCCGAATTGCAACAGCATTTAGCCCGCATTCGAATCCAGTGTCCTCCGGTCACGGATAATGATATGCAGCCGGCACATTTAGCTCAACTGGAAGCCCTTATCACCGGTGGGGTGTTACCCAGTACCTGTCCGGGCGATTCGCTTGGCAACGCAAGTCCCACCGCGGGTGCCATCACCACCGCAACCACTGCTGCTGTAGCTACTACCAGCTTAGATGAAGAAACTCGACAATCGTGTACCAGCACACTATCTGATACTTCTCAGGACGTCATCCACGGTGCTGTGGACATCCCATCGATTACCACCGTCAGCACCATTTCAGGTGGACCTGTTAGTGCCACTGTTCCTATGCCGTTGGAAGCACCGGCGGACACGTGCAAAATGGATGGAGCTCCCTCCGAGGAGTCGAATGCTGAGATTGTCTCTGTGGAGATGACATCTAAAATCCTACCAAGTCTCCCACATCCACAGCCAGAAACAGCGGTCGCGACGACTTTAGATGACCCAATTAAAACATCTGGATCACCGCATGTAAGATTTCCTTTCAAACATTACCTGATGACGTATTGATAAGGGCGCTAGTGAAACCTTTTTTCTGAAAGCCTCACGTTTGCGAAGCTTTTAAAATTGTTCACATCCACCTCTCAGAAACAAAGTTAGTCCCCGTTCTCCTTTAGATATAGTACAGTGTCTCTCTGAGTATATGCATTTCATGATAGAAAGTATTCCTCAAATCTTTATATATATATATTGCATCTCTATGGACAAAAGTTTTGAACTTGTGGCATCTTTACTGAGTTATATGTATAATGACTACTGGCTGGTCAGATTTATCAAACGTTCGACGAACAATAGTCACTACACGCTACCTTTCTAACTAATATCAATCCAGTACGTATTACAAAGTTGATCTTCACTAGTGTTGTCGCCACGAGGCTTGTAACCCCGAACGACCACGTACACATTTTTAGCCTGCGAGTCCCGGTTACAACATTTAAGTCATCCTTAACAAATAGTATCCCGATCTACATTGGTTTTGTCCCCATTTATCACCTGTCTTTGGGCACGAAATCAACAAGTTGTGTTAGTTGCGTTTTTCCAATCTCCATTTCACAATAATCTTTGTTGTGTAATTCGTGTCGTCGGTTTTTAATGTTTACCCACATTGCTTCTAAATTCCTCGCTGGTATCATCCTCCGTCGATTGTCCGCCCTCATGCCCGATCTAATATTGATCGTCTTTTTCCACCCACTACCTGCCTCAGCGAACATCACACGCCTTGGCAATCTATTTGGTGAAAGTCAGCTAACTAATCGCTCATAGCCNAACTGTGCATCTAAGCTCAGCATTGCTTGTCCGGTTTCCCCACCAAACTCGTGCAATGCGGCGTAGACAGTGGTGTTCGAACACCAACAATGTATTTTTATCTTATTTCCTTAATGGCCAAGTCTCTACACCGTAAAACAGCACTGGTTGTACTGCTGTAGTGCACACTCAATCCTTCCCAGACAATCGGATTTCTCGACGACCTCTCAGATATCTCAAGTTGATAAATGCCGATTGAGCCTTCCGTGTGTGTACCGACACTTCATCCACGCTGAGTCCGACGGGTGAGATGTAGCTGTCGATATAGCAAGGTTAATCGACTTTCTCTACTTCCCG